GGGCTGCATTTTTATATAGTAAATTTTCTCGATATAACGGATGTACTAATTAAATCTTGATTTAACGGATTTTTGAAGTCGAGTTTCACTGTGTATTAAAACAAATGTGTTTTGTGTAACATAAATAAAAAGATTCAAGTCAACAACAAGAAAAAAAAACAGGCAATTTTCATAATAATAAACCTTAATATTAATGCACCGTAGTTACGTAGACCTCATAAAACCCCCCCTAAAATTATTGCTATTACATGTGTAATATCAGATTATAAAATGGCGAATTTTTAAATATTAAGCGATAAATTATTTTCTTTCTTTTTCCTGCTTTTAATATTAAGTAATCATTTTTCATCCGGAGATTTTGTATTAATAAATTAATAAAAAATAAAAACACAATGAATCATCAAAGTAATATTCCTTCTAACGAACAATCGAGTGCTCCCGCTATTCCTGGCGAAACTTATTCTGGACACTATCGTATTCACCAAAACTTAAACATCCCGACTAATACTATTAATATCAACAATATACCTGAACAGGATCCAAATGGTGATAGAAATGACAAAAGACTGTTTTTTATGGCCGTTGTTGAAATTTTAACCGTGGCAACGATCACGGCAGCAACAACCACGGAAGTAAAAGCAATAATGATAATGATAATTAATTTAGTGGCTGTTTGCTTATTAGCTATAATTATAAAAAAAATAAAGCTATTAAATTAATTTCTTGTTTAAAAAACGTGAGAAAAAATTTTTAAAATTAAATATAGTTGGCTCGGTCTAAAACCTCCTAAATTTTGGGCAAATTTTAAAAGTATAGAAGTCATTTTCTGTCATATCTTTTAAAAAAATGGCCCTATTTGATGATAGAATATGTATTTATTTTTTATGTAATAAAGAGATTTTCTCAAAAAAATTCTTTGTTGCAGAGTTCTCATGCATTCAATGAATGATATTTCCAATATTACGTTACCATTTAAAAAATCAAGCAATTATAATGGAATCGAAGAACATAAATTTAAATTTATTACTATTAATATTCAAGTGAGTAATGGGAGAATTGTCTTTTTTTTCAGCAAGTCTGATTAGTTAATGATTTTCAATATACATACCGTAAAGTCTGGAAAGATAGCATTCCCTTTTTACATATGTGTAACATTTTTTTTATATTGACGCTCAATTGTTTTAAAGTAGGGGGTGCTATCTTTCGAGGGGTGCTATCTTTCCAGACTTTACGGTATCTACAGTTCACTCTCTCTATAACGGCCCGACTGTTTTGGCAAAAAAAGGCCGTTATAGAGAGAGACCGTTATAGAGAGTTTGCAGATCATAGTCATGTGATAAATTATAAT